AAGGCTGGCAAGTTTCTCTCCGAATGCACACTCTACGCAAACGATCCGTAGAAGAGAGGAGCCCGGCATACACTTCAAGGGGAAAAAGAGTGATACAGTCAGCAGTCAGATGTTAGAAACCTATCTGACCAGAAAGGTCAGGTCAGGTGGGTCAGGTGAGTAAAGCACGTACCTGGGAATGTCCCCCTCACGTCTCTCTGCAAAAAACCATCAACCGTCTCTCATCAATCGTCTCTGACATGTCAAACGATGAGCGATCGCATGAGTGAGGGGAAGAGAGACTCTTCGGTCACACGCCATCGGCCTCCTCCTGAGCATAGAGTAACATAGACAGCCTCAAAGCTGAAAAAGGTACACGAATACACTCTTGACTACTCACACCCACAGGAAGGTCACTTTCTCGCATCACATCTCCTCATGAAATACCTTGGGAGGTTTCAATCATCCATTTCAAATCATTCAAACAAGCGTGTAGAGTCCGACCTCATCAGCGGTGCACAGAGTTTGACATCTTCTTAGACACCACCTTTGAGTAGCACCACCATCATGTCAGTCTAAGACTCAGACACAAGGCGAGTTTCTCTCCGAATGCACACTCCACGCAAACGATCCGTAAAAAAGAGGAGCCCGGCACACACTTAGCGATACAGTCAGCAGTCACATACAAGAAACCTACCCGACCAGAAAGGTCAGGTGGGTCAGGTGGGTAAAGTATTTATCTGAGAATGTCCCTCTCACGTCTCTCTGCAAAAAGACCATCAACCGTCCCTCATCAACCGTCTCTCTGTCAAACGATAAGTGATCAGTCAGTCACTGAGTCAGTCAAGCCAGAAGGTAGTCCTTGATGAAAGCCGCGATGAGAGGCCGATAGAGCTCCGCAGTGGCATCCCCAATCTTCTTGAGGTCCTCGATGCGCGAAGGGTCATCCATTCTTTCAAGAGCGGCAAACACGGGCGGCGGTGCGCGGCCCACGCTGCCCTCGTATTGATCAGCGCTGCACTGCACACGGAGGTACTGCTGGGGTACGCCTTCGTTCGAGAACGCCACGTCAAGATTGAAGTGTGCCAGGGTGGAGGATGAAGTCATCAGCGAGTCGATAATGTTGCCTTTGCTGCCTCGACATCGCCAAAAGTCGCCTCCCAGCCAGTCGGCCGCACTGTGAATGACTTCAGCTGCTTCCACTCTCTGCTCACGGAAGGTAGCGCCCACCCCAATGCTCAGGACCGCGTAATCGTGCAGTGTCAGGTTGGTGAAGAAATCCCTGTTTTTGTGAATTTTGTCCTTCATGTGATCTGCCACAAGCTTGGGCTCGTCCTCTCCGATCTCCACGCGCGTCGCATCTCCGTCTAAATCCTTAAAGTATCGATCCAGCAGCTTGCCTCGTGTAAACAGATAATTCAGAGCTTGCATCGCCGGATCGTTCGCCACAATCCCGCCATCGCAGGCCACCAAATTCACTGCCTTCTGCGCTTCGTCAGGAGGCGCCGGCCATCGGAAGTATTCGCGGATTACGGCGGGCTTGAAGAAGGTGGGAGCGGCGCTGGAGCAGCGGCAAATCTCCCACAGCTTCACGCCTGGGTTCGTCTTCCAGTAGCGTGCAGTCCCTGGCTCGTTTCTGCGTTTCCCCAGAGGTAGCTCAGCATCCCCAAGTCGTGTCAGATTGTGGGCATCCCCGAACACCTCTCTGACATTGGGGTCATCCTTGAGCTTTTGAAAGCGCTTATCCAGCTCTGCCCACCGATAATCCGACACAGCTCGAGCCAGGGCACGGTCGTCGTAGGGAAAGGTGAAGTGGTCGAGGCGCATGAAGTCAGGTATGCCTCGAAGCCGATCACCAACGAAGGCAACAGGGCGCCGGAAGACCATGTCGTAGGCGGTGACGAGCAACGTAGGCCCAAGCCAGTCAGGGGGCCCTCTCTTAGGGGTCGCGTCGGTGAAGTCCTGCAGGGTAGTGCGCATTACCGCCTCCAGTGTTTCCTCCAATGCGTCTGCAGCATGCTTGGGCCCACGAACCAGCCACGTCGACGAAGGATTGGAGAAGATCGTTTTGGCCATTTCTTTATACATCGCTAAGGCGCTCCCTGCACTGCCGTTTAGCACGATCTCGGTGCCGGGAAAGGTAATCGCCTTCATGTCGTTGCCACAGTAAGCCGTGAGGTAGGTAGCAAGGATGGCTCCTGTGGACGTCCCAGCCACAACGTCGAAGCATTCGCCAATCATCAGATCGGGTATGTTCGATTGATTTCGAAGTTCATGCTCCAGGACCTTCAGAACACCATGTGTACAATATCTAGCTATGTGTGGCGGGGGGGGGGGGGGGG